ATTTTTACCTGACAACCATAGTTGTCTGATACTTTGCCTCTTCATTTCCCCTCCAAATTTTCCATCTGTCAATTGTTATATACAATAAAATTGGACTATTTTTGATCTTATAAAAGGGAGATGTTCCCGTCAATGTATGTAATAGGAAATTCATTTTATTAATTTGAAAATCATGCTTGGTGATTTCTTTTGACAAGTTTTGTTTTCCTCAGAAGTTTGTAAAGAATTTCTTTGTTATACATCCTGAGTATATGAGCACAAACCACTGGGATTGTTGACTTATTTCTTTCTTTCATGAATATAAATTCTTCATTTCATAACTCCGTTTTTTTTCTATTTGAAATAACTTATTCATGACTCATACGAAATTCTACAGAATATTAAAGAGCAAATTGATAAGGAATGGTGAATATTAGCAGAATGTGTGGAAATATTGTTAGAATTGTTTTAAGAATTTATAAGTTGTATGACATTCGACAGTTGATATATGGCCCATTCTGAAACTGATCTCTATATTGGTTATATTACAGGTGGCATCAACAGTGTAATAATGGTTGAGTTTCAACTTATGGAGCATAATGGCGTAAAAATCCTCCATGGATGCTTTGATGCCAAAAATGCTTTATAATTGGGTTTAATTAATCATAGGGCATGATAATATGACTTATTCACAGTGTTTGATAATAAGGCTTACTTAATCATAGAGCTTTAATAATAATAGCCAAGAACAATAATTTAGTCCTATTATAGGGTTTTATAATGGGGCTATTATAAACCACATTTAAATCCCTATAATCAAAATTTATCATTAAGCCCTTATCAATCCTTATCATCAAACCTTATTACTAACTCTATAATTAAGCCAAATTATCAAGCCTTAATACAAAGTCCTATAATTAAGTCCTATTAAAAAAAGAAAAGGTAAAGGTCATTAAAAATAACAAAGATAAGGACACTCATCTAACTGTAAATAATAATAATAATATAGTACATTTGAGAAGAAACATTGCCATTGCAAATTTGTTTGAACTTTTTTTGTTGTTGATAGTCTTGTTCCCACAATATTTTGGCTGCTTAATTTTTCAGCCTTTCTCCAGCCAGTATAGATTATGGCACCCTGTGAATATTTTGCTTGGCAAAGAAGGTATTAGGGAACTCCCTTGTGTTTTGATTGGAAATATCTGGTTAAATTGGTGGCTATATTGTTTCACTTGTATATCTACCAATGTTGTTGCTATATTAGCAATCATTTTCTGAAGAAATATATTTTTTTTTCTTATGGATTATACACTTGATGTCGGTTGGAGAACAGATTGGCAGATATGTTGTAACATTAGCAGCAACACAAAGGAATTCATTTTCCAAACAGAATTTAAATTGCATGAATATTTTTTGTACCACTTCAGATGAATTATTTCACAAAAGATGATACCCATCCACCCTCCAAAAACATGAAAGTATTAAACTGAACTCGAACATTGATTATTGTGATTTGCATAGCAAAATTTGTTACTTGTATCTCTCCTCCTCACTAAACTAAACAGTTTGACAAATATGAGCAAAATTTGGTGAATAGTTTTAGAAAGTGAACCATCTTGAGATAATGTAATTTTTTTCTTTTTTATTTATTTTTGAATCTGATCTACATTTGTACTTAATAAATCATGTCTACTGTGGGCAAAAATGTAAATTCAGGAAGGAGTAAGTATTTTAGAGGAATTTATGAAGAATTAAGTTTATATTTAATATTTTTATTGTCTGTTTTTTGTATATTTTTAATAGAAATCATTTGACACTTGGTAAAATGTCATCTTTTTAAGCAAAGTTTGAATCTTTTGCTTGGTGTTAAATTTTTTTAGGATTCATTTATTTCATTCTTTTCATTAAAGTTATAATTTTTTTTTTTTTTTTTTTACAGCAAGGTTCACTCTATTACAAGGTCTGGGGCCACTCAAAGTAAAGAGTTACGTTTAGGGGCCATTTGTGTTTATAGGAATGGAAGATAATGGTTAACCCTAGCCTTGAACAGTTTAAGATTGTAGTGATTGAGGGAAACATTCTGTTGGGAGTCAGTTCCACAGGGCAGTAGTTCACGGGAAGAAGCTGCTTGAGTGGAACTTACTTCTCACCAATGGAATACGGAGGGAATGTGGGTGGTTTGTTACTATGTAAGTGTCATGGTGTGTTCTTGCCATGAAAATTTGCCTTGGTGGGACCAGGGAATGTAGTTTGTCAGAGCACTTTCTGTGGAAGTAGCAGTAGAACAGTGAGAGGTTTGCTTTTGAAATCTATCACGGCTGGAGAGTGAGGTCTAAGCAGCTCCTGCTCAAATATGACAACAGTACTCCTTTTTTGCCCTTGATCTGGCTCTTGTAGAGGTAGAGTATAGTGGGAGGAGTCAGGTACTTAATGGAGCTGTACAGAGAGATGACCATCTTAGCTGCATCCTTAGCAATGGATCGTAGGTATGAGTTAATTTAATGTGCAAATAATTTATGCAGACATTAGCCCTTAAATCTTTTGAACCAAAGTTTTTAAAAATCTATTTTGTTTTGTTGGCCAGTGAAATTTGAATGAAGACTGGAAGAAAATTTTCACAATATTTTAATACTTTTCTGTCTTCAGTTTATTTGAAATTAAATAAAAATTTTATAATTTTTGATAAAATATGTTGGTGTCACACATTTCCATAGTCAATGGAATTTCTGTTGAGGCATGTTGCTAACAAAACTCCTCATAACTCAAAACCTTTTGGAGATTCCTTGCAAAGTAAATGACTTTTTTGTTTTTGATTTAATCTGATACAACTTCACCAGGCAAATAGATTTATAGCTATTTACCAGGGTCCTCATGTTGCAACTGGATATGACACAAGGTCGAAGTTTAAAGTGGGTTTAATGGTTGTACTGTGGAAAAATTGCCCAAGTCCCCCCTGGCAAATAGATTTATATACCCCCAGTGGAAAAACCATAAGTTTATATAGAACTCAATTGGCAGAACCCATTTCAACTGCAGGTAGAACAGGTCAACTTAAAGCACAAGTTTTCATTAGCTGGAGGCTATCAGTTCAGTACATGTGTTTGGTAGTAAATATATATTTGAGCTATTTAACAACTTAAATCTACTATCTTGGTTTCCAATCCAATTTTCCCCTAAGCACCCTTTGATTTTTCTCGGTGATGTTCCAAGTACACCCATTACTACAGGAATTAGTTCGGCAGTCATGTTCTATGGCTTTTTAACTCTATAACTAGATCCAGATAATTTTCAGTTGTTATGATTAAAACACTTAGAGTGCAATTTAAGATAACAAAAAAAAAAGAACAGTGTTTCGAAATGTTAAATAATATTTCGATAGTGTGCGACATGGCGAAACAAATGAAACACTGGTTGGGGTGGGACATTACTTTGGATATGTAATTATCTTCATATATTTTAAGAGTTGAAATTAAATTCTACAGGGGTGGGAGAATAAACGAAATGATGTAAGAGATCCATAAAGTTTATACTAAACTATTTGATTAATTCCTCTTACTAACTAGTCAACTAATGAAAAATTTCAAGATAAGCATGATAGCAATTATGTTACTCACATTTCAGTTGCATTCCATTCATGCTGGCTATATTACATTTGTATTCTCATTGATTATCAGTACAACCATTTTTCTCAAGACAAGTGACATTTGTACAAATAAGAGGGTATAAATGAAAAGATTCAAAATTGACAAATTTTTCCACTTCAGTGAAACAGGCATTCAACATGAGCATTACTACCTCTTCCATCCTTACATTAAACACGAGAACATTGTGGCAGCTTGGAGAACTCGTTCTAATAAGAAAAGAACACCAGAATGTGTTGGTGGGCCTCAGGATCAACATGGAGGCCTATCAAGTGTTTTGAGGAGGTAGTGCTGCTTTGGGTCAAGAGGGTGGCTGCTGGAAGATCCTATCTCTGGCAACAGGACTTTGCACCATGCCACACAAGCCGGAGAACCCAGTCATGGCTGCTAGAAAATTTTTGTGACCTTATGTCTGGCCATCTAGCTCCCCAGACTGCAACCCTCTTGATTATTGTGTGTGGGGTTCAGTTGAGTGAGAGACCAACAAAACTCCCTTGTAATACCAAAGATGAACTGAAGGCAAAGATTATGGCAGCATTCGCCAACTTAAATAAGGAGGCTGTCCAGAAGAGTTGTAGGAGATACTGAAGTTGTCTGGAAGCTATGGTTAAAGCCAATGGCGATTGAATCTTATTTTTGTGTAATTTTGGTATATCTGTTAGAATGAGTTGTTATTGTTATTTTCATTTTTGTGTAATATAGATGACAATTTATCAGTTGTATACTTTTAGTTGTAACAAAAATTAAAAAAAGCTGAAATATTTTAGAAATGAATAAACACAAAAAGAAATTGCGTCTTGATGTCTTTTGGTTTATTTACAGAATATTTTTATCTGTCTATATCTCTGATATGAGATACATGATTATTTACATTATTCGGACTATTCATGTTCATTGCCATATTCACATTGTTTCAGCCATTGTACACTCCAGCCTTCTTCAGGTGATTGCAATTTCAAACCAAACACTTTATTTTGTCTACAGGAACACATTGCCCAGTGGATAAAGATGTTGGTTAGATCCAGTAGTTAAACTCAAGAGTTCAATACCAGTCTACAGCAGTGGTGAACCAAAACCTTGGAGAATTAAAGGGAAATAACTGAGACATCCAGAAGAGGCATGGCATGTGGAACTTGAACAATCTACCCCGGTGGATGAAATAAAGGGTTTGGTTTGAAATTCCAATCACCTGAAGAAGGCTGGAGTATACAATGGCCATTTTTTTTTTTTTTTTTTTTTTTTTTTTTCAGGTTTGATGGAACTTGAATCATTTTGTTTTAAATAGCTCATTTTTTTTTTTTTTTTTTTTTTTTTTTTTTTGACAATTTGCCATTTAATATTTTCTCTTGTGAAATATCTTTTTCCACTTTTCCTCTGCAGACCTTTGTCCAATGCAATGGAAAGTAACAAAGTGATGCGAAACAAAAGCAGGAATAAAAACAAGAACTCACCGAACAACGCTCAGTCTGACGCGTCTTCGTCATCCACCCAGAACTTGCGAGGGGGTGGAGCTGGTGGTGGTGGCGGCGGCGGGGGTGGAGGCAGTAATAGTTCCAGTCGGAGGCAACGTCGGTTGGAACATCTCAAGATGGACAGAAAGCAGATAGTCATATGGAGGCGGCCACTACGGACCACAAAATACTTTTTATTGGAATTATGGCATTTACTTAGTACTTACACAAAAAAGTAAGTGCTTTTATGCATCTTATAAATACTTCATGATTTTTTATTTTTTCTTCACCTTTTTTTTTTTTTTCTTCACCTTTTTTTTTTTTTTTTTTTTTTTTTTTTTTTTCTTCACCCTTCCCCTATATATTTCATTTTCCAATATTTTAACAAAACTTTAAAATTTAAAAAATATATCAACTGATTGCCTTCAGCTCTCAAATAGAACTGAGTAGTTTCAAAATACAGTGGATGAGATTTGATCTCTATAGCTTGCCATATCATGTAGCAATACCTATAGCACTTTGGTTATTGATGCCATTGTGGTCATATTGTTTTTTTTTCTTCATATTTTAACCTCATTTGAGATCAATGTCCACAACCCATTGCTATTACTCATGCATAGCTGCCATCATGTCTTCTCTCTTAACTATGAGAAACTTGGAGCTGAATTTGACTTCTAGTAGGATTCGTTATGTGCAAATTCCCTTAGGAAAGGTACAAATCTATCTCCTTCCTTCAGCTATGGATTAAATAGTCTGACTCATATTTAGAAAAATGCTTATTCTCAAAAAATTGTTAATGCATTATTCACTCAGAAAAGAAATTATTTCTGTAATCCCAAATATGTTTTGGCTTTAGATACCTCACAAAAAATTGATAAACCATAAAAAAGCAAATCAATCACTCAATCCCTCTTAACTTCAGTATCCCTGCCGAGGATATCAGAGAAGGCTAGTTTCTTGTTTCTCCTGCCATGGAGTTGAGGTCTCCAAAGGATAAGTGATAAGGTGACTTCATTCTCTGCTTTATGACAGTGATTTGCAAACTGGACTGTCTTAGCTTTCACTTGGGAGGACGTAAGTTGATACATATCATTACTCTGGTAGGATGTTGCTGCCAGGAAGGATTTTTAGCTTACAGTGAAAGTCTTGTGAGGGTGACTTGATGACATTCTAATTCAGAGGTGGTGGAATTAAATGATTTAAATATTATTTTAACCCATATCTTATTGCTTTTTATTGAAATGTTTTAAGTTGAAGGTTTTATGAGTTAAAAAAAGAAAGAAAAAAGGACACATGGCACAGTGGATAAAGGCATTAGTTAGACAGGACTGAAAGAGTGTTAGTTCAATACCTGGTTAAAGCGGTGGAGAACTTTGAGAGGAAATTAAGCAGGCGATAATTGATAACTGACATCCATTAGACATGGCACGTGGAACTAAAACAGTCTATCCCAGTGAGCAAAATAAAGGGTTCAGTTCAACATTCCAACCACCTGGAGAAGGCCGGAGCATACAATGTCCGAAATATAATAAATATGGCGACAAAGATGAGGACAATAGTCCGAATAATGTAAATAGTGTACATAATACCTCATCTCAGAAATATAGACAGATAAAAAAAAATATGACAACAAAGAGATTAAAATGGAAGTCAAAAAAAAAAAATGGGTGGAATCATAAAAAATGCTTAATCTCAGAATCCCAGACAATTTAGATTATCAAAAGTACACTTCAGAAACTCTGATGCCAACTTTTGAGGGTGGAGGATCTTTGCTATAAACCAGTGGTTCGTAAACTTATTTGGGGTTGCTTCTCCTTTGTGTACCAATGCCCATTACTAACACCCCCCCCCTCAATGTATAGTCAACCTTTGATTGATTAGATTTTATTGGTGTTGGTATTGCATATCAAATGAGTATCTTAGTATTTCTCATAATAATTTTTATTTATATGGAATACACAATTAAGTGAAAGCAAGATACACTTCAGGTACAATTGGTATGTGTTATGATTCAGATGTGACATTGCCACCTTCTGGCTGCCTACTTTTTTTCCTCGCCATCCTTCCCTGGATCTTTTCACCACCCTCTTTGAGAATCACTCATCTTAAAGCAATGGGAATGTGCAAGGATTTGCATTTCTGGGAGAAAAATGGGGGAGTCAAGTTCGTTTCAACCCTTTTCGCACATATTCACTTTGAAAGATATGGTTTTATTGCTTATATCCTCCAGTTATGAGTCCAATATTAGAGCAGATTGGGCCCATCAGCCTTATTCAGCAGTCTAGAGAAAAGGGAAAACTGGATTCCCAAACCTGAGTTGTTGGAACTCATTAGCCCAGGACCATGTGGCTCTTGAAATTAAAGGCATCCCTGCCAAAAGACTGATCATTCCTCAAAGTACAGAACTTGGGCTTGTGAGCATGTAGTGAAAGAGATAATCAGCTACCTCAAAAAAAAAGAGTTTGTGTTTTGTGTACCATCTGACAAAGAAAAATTACCAAAAAGTAGTCAGCAAAAATCTACTTTAAGAACCAGAATCTATGCTAATGTTCTTCCCTACCCTGAATGGTGTGACCAATCAGAAAGATCTCTCGGTGAACAAAAGCCGTTGTTTTTTGATTATGTGGAGGAGATTTTCTGAGCTTGGTGGACGAACACACATTTTTGGTGGTGAGAAGTGAAGGTTGGATGTGTGACCCCATTTTGTCGTTTCTACGTTGCCTGTTATAACGGACTACTGTTTGAACTGTGATTTGGCTACAAGTGTTACGGTTGAGAGACAGAAGAAATCTATTGCAAACGTTTTTTGCTACTATAAGTTGACTGTTTTTTTTTTTTCTTTTTCTTTTTTTACAACTACAAGCTATGTCAGCGCTTACTTTTGTCTCTAGCAAGATGGCGAAAAAGACAACCTTCTGAAAATAGGACCACACAAAATTATGCTTTGCCATTTGCTAAAATATCCCTAGTATTTTGAGATATTAACTATTTCAAGCAGTGATTCCCAAACTTTTGTGGTTGCCACCCCCTTCTGTACAAAATCAAGACCCAAATGACCCCCATGTATATTCAACTTTAATTAGATTTTATGGTGTTAGTATTGCATGTTAAATGAGTATCTTAGTATTTCTCATAATAATTGTTACCTAAATGGAATACACCCTAAAGTGAATGTAAGATACACTATACACCCATTTTACCTGAAATGTATGTTATGGACTGGAGGTCTCCAAAGTATTCTATTAGTATTGCATGTCAAATGAGTATTGATGGCTAAATGGAATACACCTTAAAGTGAACGCAAGATACACTATACACCCATTTTACCTGAAATGTATGTTATGGTTCAGATGTGCCACTGCCAACCTCTGGCTGTCTACTTTTTTTCTCACTGTCTCTCCCTGGATCTTTCTACTGCTCCAGGAGAGTGTTATTGCCCACTATGGGAACCATTACTATAAACCATGGCCTTATTCAACGAAAAAGATATTTAGTTTATGCTTAGAGTAGACATTTTTTTTTTTTTTTCATAAAGAGGGATGCCCTTGAATAAAGTAATATGACATTCACTAGCTGATAAATTTTGCCACACTTAGCTTTGAGGAGCTTGATTGTTTTGCTGCAAATGGTGAGTCCATTCAAGTTTGATCCATCTGAAGGGTGTCCAAATCCTGGACTTAGTTTTACAGGAATGGAGGATGATGTATTAAGCATTTCAGCCATCAGCAAGGTTATTTTCAGTTGCTAGAAATGTTGATTCTTGTCTCTAATGTACTCGGTTCCCTCATTGGAAATTGGGAGGGTCAATAGTGGGCAGAGATTGAAGAGAGAAGGAACCAATTAAAAATATTAATTAAAACCTATAAGTGAATGATGAAAAAAGAACCAGTAACGATTGAGTAAATCCAGTATAGTTAAAATTCACCCTATCTCCATGTGACGAGCCTAGCCAGGAATTGACATCATTAATAAATTTCTATTTAAAATGTAAGTCCTTTAACCTAAATTGAGATGTTTACATATTGTTCTATTGACTTTATTCTATATTAAATTATAGGAAGGGTCAAATTTTAGAGAAAGTATAAAAATAACAGCAAAACATTTTTATATATAAAAAAAATCACTAATGATACATTTTTAAGCAGAATTACCAACAATAAATTTTATAGCAAAATGACCAACAATACATTTTATCTGTAGTTGAAGCCATAAAACTATGTTCAAAATGTTTAGATTTTGGCATTAAATAACCCATAGAGGTATTGGTATGCTGCTAAACAAAATCAAGCAACCAAATCTACAGACATACAAATTAGATGATCTGCCAATTTGTGGGCTGTTGAGATGAGACAAAACACTGCTATTGATTACAGACAGGAGAATTGATAGCTGTAGTTCCGCATAAGGTCATAGGAAGAATATTAAATTATAGTTTAAGTTGTTGAGCAGATCCTGCTTGGTTCATTTTTCCAGGTCACCCTTGGCCAATGTAGATTTGTCATTTTTCCTCTAGAATATCCACAGTGATAAAGCTAAATGTTGAATCATCATCAGTCCGTTGACTGCTTCAATCATTTTGGGGACCAAAGGGCAAAAGAAACAGACAACAGAATTAGCCTGTAGAAAAAGACAATATGTAGAAAGGAAAAAAAAAGCAAAAGGAAAACTATATTTTTAGCTGACATGTTTTGTCCAGTGTGGACTTTTTCAAGGCAGAAAATGAAATGACTTTGTTGTTTATAGATACTTTGTTTCAATAAACAAAATGTTAACAACTAAAAAAAAAAAAAAAAAATGGATTGTTGTTTATAGATACTTTGTACTGGTGAAGAAGTTTTCAGGATCCCAGGTTTAGTATTGTCTGCTCATGGACAGATGTTTGCACTTGTAGGAAATGAGATGGACAAAACACTGCTATTGATTACAGACAGGAGAATTAATAGCTGTAGTTCCACATAAGGTAATAGGAAGGATATTAAATTATAGTTTAAGTTGTTGAGTAGATTCTGCTTGGTTCATTTTCCAGGTCACCCTTGTTCAATGTAGATTTGTCATTTTTCCTCTAGAATATCCACAGTGATAAAGCTAAATGTTGAATCATCATCATCAGTCCCTTGACTGCTTCAATTGTTTTGGGACCAAAAGGACAAAAAAAACAGACGACTGCCTTCAGGATGATCTGTGGGCAGTGGCTCTCAGTTCTGGCATTGTCATGTCCATCCACTCTTTGATGCG